GGTGACCATTTTATACACGTGGCTAAAGCTGCTTTATCTTTGTAAATCTCTTCATAAAGACAGCACAACTTTAGCAATGGGTAAGAAACTATGCCCTAGTACAAAGGGGCTCCAAGCGTCCACGTTTTGATCACATGACAAGCGGAGTGCTGCAATAGCCATAACAAGGACACAGGTTATATAAGCCCATTTTTTTAGCACCATTGTACTTTGAACAGTTGCTGAACAAATGGTTGTAAGTTGAGGATTACCTTTAGTACCCTATGCTGTCGCAAAAGAGTCTTACCCAATTTTGGAAAAAATACCGCAAACAATTGGATGCTTACCTATATTTACATGATTATCCTTGAGCCCTCCTCCCCAAAGCCCCTCTTCTTCTAGTTTGACATAACCACATATTTTTGGGGATTGTAATCGTGAGATATCCTTAATATCTTCGGATTTGTATACCAAAAGCCTTCCATCTTCTGTGTTGTTGAGAAACCTCCATAAGGGCTAGAGCAGAAAAATAGTATCACAGATATGTTTTTTTTTTTATGCCTGCTTAAAAATAAGCTACATTAAGTTCAACAGAGTGTCTTTTAAGTAAAAGCAGCCTAAGTGGAGTAACTTATCAAGAATGGTTGCTTCAGAAGCCTGAAAAACTAAATATGCTAAACCTTAGTATTTTTCAAAATAATTATTTATGATTGTGAATATATCTAATTCTGTTCCAAACCACCTTATGTGGCTTTGTAAGTTTACAATAGATTTAGGATTTTTTCACATTAGGTAAAATTATCTTCATTTCTAGTCAATTTTGCTAAACAGCTACCCTATGCATTCTCTATGAAATAGTTTGCCAAAATGAATTTGAAAAATAATGCTACATTTTAAAATAGCTTCATTCAGACGTAAACCTTGATTAGTTTCAAAATAATGTCATTATGTTTATCAGAATTACTATTGGTATTGAGCCAGAATTTAGGCCATATATTATTCCTACTCATTCCAACATCCACTTCATGAAAAATTTGTAAATTATCACACTTGTTTCACACTAAGTACAATTTTATGCTCCATAATTTGTTTTTGTGGACAGGAGTTCACAAAGAAAAAAAAATGACAGGTGTAATTGTAAGAACCCTAATGGTTGATTTTGTTCCTTAGCTTAGATTGTTTTGCAAAACAGTCGAAAAACACTGAAAATTACTATGACAGAAAGGAAGTTATTATATGGAACTAGAGATTTTAAAAAATGGACTGGACCTTCAATATAGAAGATGCCCAAAAGGTTGTTAACTGGAAAACCAATAGTCCTCAAGTTATGACCATAATGGAGCCTCTTATAGCAGTTGTAAAACCATTTTAAATAACCATGGAGGTGCAGTGGTTAGAATGCAATACTGCAGGCAAACTCTGTCCACAGCCAGGAGTTCGATCCTGACCAGCTCAAGGCTGACTCAGCCTTCCATTCTTCAGGGTGAAATGAGGAGCCAGATTGTTGGGGGAAATAGGCTGACATTTGCAAACTGTTCAGAAAATGCTGTAAAGCACTATGGAGTGATAGGTGCTATTGCATTTTAGAGTTTATTGCTGCAGTGGTCACTAAGTGAACATTGCAGACATGAAGTGAACTGGAAGCACCTGCCAGTTTTCAGCAAAAGTGGCTTAAAATGCAGTCACATGACCGCAGGACACTGCAAGCAATCATAAATGTTGCAAAGAACCTGAAGTTCAGTCATGTGATCATAGGCAGCAGGGAGGTGGCTGACAATCAGAACTTTGGGTCTGGATCGTAAGTTCCCTTTTTCAGGTAGATTGTAGACTAAAACAATTTCATGGCAGTTTTTAAACAAACACTTTCTAAGCAGATGAATAGTTACAGCAAGAGAGAAAACCAGTATGGTGTAATGTGGTTTTCTTAGATTTTCCATAAGCATCATATCCCAAAGTCAGGGAGAATTTTACCTATATGCATAATTTTCCATTCAGGCTGCTTCTTGACTATTTATATCAAATTTTAATATTGCAATCTATTAAAAGAAAGTTAAGCAATTATTTGGTTACATGTAGATTTTTGTAATGGGGTGTACCTCAACATTATATTCTTCTTCATCTGTATTGATCCTCAATGTGAAATCACCTTCACCTATGTGAGCCATAACTTTGGAATTACTCTGACCTGGATATGGGGGGGGGGGGGAAGCAAAAAAAAATGATCTATTAATTTAATCAGCAGCTACTTTATACTGAAACATACACAATATGTCCTGCATGAGTTTTTTACAAACATACTACACAGTAACATGTCAGCTCCCATTTGCAGAGAAGTTATGTATTATGAATTTGAGGTTATGTCATGAGATTCAAGGAAAACCTTTGGGGTATATTGACTGACTATGTCAAAAGACATGCTCCAGGGCCTGGGGTTTGGGAGGCAAAATGGACCAGTGAAAAATCTTTCGCAGTTTGGTTTGAGTTTATCCTTGGTGACCACTGTAGTATTTTTTTCTTCTTTGCTGGTATTTTTATTGTTTTAGCATTTGTTAACTGCTGAAAGTCTCATTTGTGGGATGGGAGCCATATAAAGCAATGTAATATTACCTACTTTCAATGACTTTATTATTATAAATAATATGATTAGATTCTTTAAAATTTATACTACCTTCTCAATTTTTTATTCACTTTGCTTTAGTATTTTGTACTATGGATTCATTAGCACACTTGCCATCATACAGGTAGTCCTTGGGTTACAATGGCAATTGGGACTGGGAATTCTGTTGCTAAGTGACAAGGTTCTAAAATGTAATAACATGTGACTGCATCGTTTAACAATGGCATTTCCGCAGTCCCATTTGCCATTGTTAAATGAGGACTTCACCTCATCATGACTTCTGATTTCCTGTCAGCTTCTCCATTGACTTTGCTTCTGGGAAGCTAGCAGGGAGTATTGGAAGCTATGATCACCTGATCATGGCTTGCTGCAACATCATAATTATGAGCAAGGCACCCAGATCACAATCACATGATCACAGGGATGCTGTGATGGCTAGAACCCTGAGGACCTATCGTAAGTACCCATTGTACAGTGCCAGTGTCATAATCCAAGGACTACCTGTATAACAAGAGTGCTACTTGGACCCAAGGATTATAACCATCCTGTATCATTTTTATGTGATTTTCATGGTCTCCCAGTTCATTTTTGGACCAAAATCAAGCTCTATCAGTCTAAATTAGCCTATAAAACTTGCCATGGCTGGGGGATTATACCATCCATACCACCTACTCATTTGTTCCTATCTGTTGGTGGAGCTTCTGCTCCAATTGCTGTCCCAAATTCAGATGCTATAAGTGGCAATGCAATAAGGCACGCGTATAATTTTGCCTTTGAGGCACCAGTAAGACATGTTCTTTCTCTCCACTCTCCTTTCATTGCCTCAATATTTAAAAGGTATATGCTGAAATCAAAAGTTGTAATGAGTTTGCTTAGGTTTCTACTGTTTATGAACTGTAGTCTTCAATCACCTCAGCCTCTAAGAATTAGGTCATGATTCTAATGTGTTATAAGCTATCTAGTGAAAACATTTTTGAATATAGTTAATAAATATTAATTATGGCAATAGATTCTAGTAACAGTCTATTATGCTTTCCATTTACACAAATACCCAGTAGTTGTCTGCAAAATCTGTTGTATGGTTTGGCTGTTTTAATAGCACAGAGATGTCAAACTTGCATAATCATGGCAATGTCACATGACGTATCAGGACTTTTTTCCCTTTCACTAAACTGGGCTGGGGCAGAGCCAGCACATGACACATCTAGTCCGCGGTCCGTGAGTTTGACAGTCCTGTAATAGCAGTTTCTTGTCTTCTGAGATTATTTTTTCCAGAACAGAAAGTTGTTTATGGTATTCCAGATCATGGCAGTTTGACATTTTTAAAAAATATAATGTGACTTTTCGTATACTACTAATCCTAAAGGAAATCAATCCTGACTGTTCTTTGGAAGAACAGATACTGCAGATGAAGCTCAAATACTTTGGCCACCTAATGAGAAGAGAGGACTCTGATGCTAAGAAAGATTGAAGGCAAAGGGAGAAGGAGCCTGCAGAGGATGAGATGGATGGATAGTGTCATCAACACAACAAATATAAATTTGGGTAGACTCTGGGAGACAGTGGAGCACAGAAGGTCTTGGTATGTTATGGTCCATGGGGCCGCAAAGAGCTGGTCACATCTTAGCAACTGAATAACAATGCTAGCAAGCAACCCTTACTTGTACACACTTACCAACAATATGACCCGTGAAAAATTCTTGCCATTGTACATGATACTCTCTTTCATTGCCTTTGCCATCAAGAATAAGTGCTTGAAAGTTTTTTGAAAAATGGTCTGCTGTTGATGTTAAATATAACTTAAAATGCCTGTAAAAAATAAATTTCAGATGCATCTAAAGCACTTATTTTTCTGTGCACAAAACATTAGGAATTGTTGCATATGGCTCTCTATGGAAATGATGACAAACAGCATCAAGAATGTTTACTAACAGCTTTTAACATAAATTGTTTTTCAATTTTCAAACCTGAGATAAATATTTAAGAAAATATTTCAATACATTATTAAAAGAGATTCAAAGCCTTGCATATATATTTGAGCTTTAGATACTGATCTATCATGCTTGCCAATATACACTGCTCAAAAAAATAAAGGGAACACAAAAATAAGACATCCTAGATCTGAATGAATGAAATATTCTTATTAAATACTTTGTTCATTACATAGTTTAATGTGCTGACAATAAAATCACACAAAAATTATCAATGGAAATCAAATTTAGCAACCCATGGAGATTGCTATTACACTCAAAATTAAAATAGAAAAAAACACTACAAGCTGATCCAACTTTGTTTTAATGTCCTTAAAACAAGTCAAAATGAGGCTCAGTAGTGTGTGTGGCCTCCACGTGCCTGTATGACCTCCTTACAATGCCTGGGCATGCTCCTGATGAGGTGGCGGATGGTCTCCTGAGGGATCTCTTCCCACACCTGGACTAAAGCATCCCCCAACTCCTGGACAGTCTGTGGTGCATGTTGGTGGATGGAGCGAGACATGATGTCCCAGATGTGCTCAATTGGATTCAAGTCTGGGGAACAGGTGGGCCAGTCCATAGCATCAATGCCTTCGTCTTGCAGAAACTGCTGACACACTCCAGCCACATGAGGTCTAGCATTGTTGTGCATTAGGAGGAACCCAGGGCCAACCGCACCAGCATACGGTCTCACAAGGGTCTGAGGATCTCATCTCGGTACCTAATGGCAGTCAGGCTACCTCTGGTGAGCACATGGAGGGCTGTGAGGCCCCCTAAAGAAATGCCACCACATACCATTACTGACCCATTGCCAAACCGGTCATGCTGGAGGATGTTGCAGACAGCAGAACGTTCTCCACGGCATCTCCAGACCCTGTCACATCTGTCATATGTGAACCTGCTTTCATCTGTGAAGAGCTAGTGGCGAATTTGCCAATCTTGGTGTTCTCTGGCAAATGCCAAACGTCCTGCACGGTGTTGGGCTGTAAGCACAACCCCCACCTGTGGACATCGGGCCCTCGTACCACCCTCACGGAGTCTGTTTCTGACAGTTTGAGCAGCCACATGCACATTTGTGGCCCGCTGGAGGTCATTTTGCAGTGCTCTGGCAGTGCTCCTCCTGTCCCTCCTTGCACAAAGGTGGAGGTAGCGGTCCTGATGCTGGGTTGTTGCCCTCCTACAGCTTCCTCCACGTCTACTGATGTACTGGCCTGTCTCCTGGTAGTGTTTCCATGCTCTGGACACTATGCTGACACAGCAAACCTTCTTGCCACAGCTTGCATTGATGTGCCATCCTGGATGAGCTGCACTACCTGAGCCACTTGTGTGGGTTGTAGACTCCGTCTCATGCTACCACTAGAGTGAAAGCACCGCCAACATTCAAAAGTGACCAAACCATCAGCCAGAAAGCATAGGAACTGAGAAGTGGTCCGTGGTCACCACCTGCAGAACCACTCCTTTATAGGGGATGTCTTGCTACCTGCCTATGCTTTTCACCTGTTGTCTATTCCATTTGCACAACAGCATGTGAAATTGTCAATCAATGTTGCTACCTAAGTGGACAGTTTGATTTCACAGAAGTGTGATTGACTTGGAGTTACATTGTGTTGTTTAAGTGTTCCCTTTATTTTTTTTTGAGCAGTGTATTTACCTTGTGGGTGAAAGCCCAATGACATATTTATTATCTTACATTATAAAAAAACTAAAATAATTTCCTTTTCATTCCTAATAGACATAAGGTTCCCTACTACCCAGATACCGGTAATACCTGATTGCAACAATGCATAAACAAGGCAGAACCAGCTAGATTCTGCATTTAGTTAGGGAAAAAAAATCATACCTATGCAATGCTGAAAAACTAACAAGTCTCTCTATATGGGATTCAGGTTGGATATCTCTTCGTCTTACTGAATGTTGTTGGATGTTGGACACAGAAAGAATATCATAGTCTGAAAGAACAGACTCTAATCTCTCTGTGGGGAAAAAGAAAGTGAAGGCTTAAACACAAAATATATAAAGAGAAGTATTGGCTTATAACTACTGTAAATGGAACAAGATGCAATGACAAAAAGGAGCATCCAAGCATATCTATCACTGAAGCTGCACTGTGTAAGTCATATGCCTCAGTCCCACTAATTTGGACTTTTATGATTTAGAAAATTCTACTGTGTTCATCACTCATAGTCCCGAAAATATTTAATTGTTATGTGGAATATTGTTACCTTTTAATGTCTCATTTCATTCACAAGAAAGTGCCAAAATGAAATGTATATACCAGTAATTATATCCTTTTAAGAATTCTATGGAAATGACATGGAGCATGAATAAATGGCTATATTGGAAAACTATAACTGAATCAGGAATTGAAACTCAAAACTCCACACCCCATTCCAGAAATATTTCCTAAGAATTACAACTACTTGTTTCTTGCACCAGAAAAAATACTAGATATTTAAGTTCTTTAAAAAGATCTTTTATGAGCATCAGCAGCTATTTTATACCTATCCATACAGTACAGTACTGTTCAATAGTACCTCAGGTTTTCTTACTTTACATGTGTGATTCTTATACTGTAAAGGGAGCCCTAAACTCCCAAAAATAAAGATGTATCTTACCTGCCATAAGAATACTTTTAACACCATTTCAATATTTAGCTGTGCATTAAATTACCTATGGCTGTGTTTACAGTCCTGACCTCTGCATTAGAACAGTACAGGTAGTCCTTGACTTACAATTCATTTAGTGTCCATTCAAAGTTACAACAGCACTGAAAAAAAGTGAGTTCTGACTGTTTTTCACACTTATAACTGTTAGAGCATCTCCATGGTCACGCGATCAAAACTGAGACATTTGGAAACTGGCATGTATTTAGGGCGGTTGCAGTGTCTAGGGGTCATGTGATTACCTTTTGCAACTTTCTGACAAGCAAAGTCAATGGGGAAGCCAGATTCACTCAACAACCGAATTACTAACTTAACAACTTCAGTGATTCACTTAACAAATGTAGTGAAAACTCACTTAACAAATTTCTCACTTAGCAACATACATTTTGGGCTCAATTGTGGCCATAAATCAAGGACTACCTGTATTTCTATCCAATTCTGTACCCGTTTCTATTTGTAAGATCGTAAAATGGGACAAGACAGTTAACAAACGTCTCACTTATCAACATAAATGTTGGGTTCAACTGTGTAGTAAATCGAGGATCACCTGTATGGGGAACTGGTGTATTTTGGAGACAAGATATCTTCCAGCACTCATAATCCTCCCCAAGGAGAAGAGGACTTCCTCCTTTTTTCTTACATACCCCCTTCAACCGGTTTACAACTATGAGCAGCCCCCGCCCTGGCCAATGAGTTCCCCCTCCCCCGCCCCCGCCCTCAAAAGTTCCCCAAAAGTTGTCTCTTCCCAGGCAACCTCCGGCTGATCCCCGCCGTCACTCCTGCTAAGACTCGCAAAACGACCGCCACTGCATGCGTGTGCCCGGCCTCTCCCGGATGGAGAAACAACAGTTCAGCTTCTCCAAACAGGCTTCTTTCCAGAAACTCTCCGCCACGGCCAAACGCTTTGCCCCACCGCCGTCCCCAGCCTCTCGCTCGGCTACAGCCGGGGATTCGTCCCAGGTTGCGCCACCCCAGACCGAAACGAAACAGCCCGCTGGCCGAGCCGGAGGAGGACCTCTCGGGTTTCTGTCCGTGGGGGACAGCGAGGCCAAGCTCTCCCTCGCCCTCCGCCTCTTTTTTTCCAAACACTCACCGAATCGCGACTCCCGATGCCCGCCCCGGGGTCGCTGGGTGGAAATCCCGCGCGCTATTAGCGGCGGCAGCAGCAGCAGCAGCAAAACGGGAAGCAGCCGCCGACCGGAACGGGACTGAGGCGGCATGGTCGCCGGGCGGCGGCGGCGGCAGAACTCCTTCTCCTCCTGCCTTCCTTCGGGCTCGCATCAGCCGACCGTCCAGCCTTCCTCCTTCGGCCCCAGGGCGGCTCTCTCGGTCTCTCTCCCCCACACACGGAAGACGAGCCGGCCTCCCGCGGAGCATGATGGGCCAGCAGAGCGGCCGCCATCTTGTTCCGTTCGGGAAGGGGAGGAGCATCTCCCGGCGACGCCGAGAGGGAAACAAAAGCGGCTCCGTTTTGGTTTCCCTCCTGCTTGTTCAGCAGAAGTAGAAGAGGGGTTCGCTGAGGCGAGACTTAGCTCTGGTCTCTGGGGAATAACGAAGAATGCTTTTATAAAAAGAATCCTGGAATGCCAGATAGCCATCATACATTGATGCAGTTATATTGTACATACAGTACAATGCAGTTTTAGAACTGCATTGACTAATGACAGAAATTCCGATCCCAATTGTGGTAGTAAGTTGAGAATTACCCGTATACTTAACTGTTTAACATTGTGACTTCATGTAACAAATGTTGTCTCTCTCTAATACACTATAAGCCTATAGGAAGTTTGCTTTACAACAAAGCTCAGGATATTAGCATACAGTAGCTCATGCGTAATATGCTCTGTGCCTGGAATAATACCTGACCTGTTTTCATTTTATTGGAAGAAGACAGCGCTCCTGTGCCACTTACTCAGCACTCGGCAAGCGGAGGTTTCATAAATGTGTGTTAACTCCGTGGCGCAGCGCGCTCAGCTTGACTAAGGCGGACAGTTAAGTCGCCCAGCCCTGATTATTACAGGTAGTCCTCGACTTAGCGACCACAATTCAGTCCCAAATTGAGCATTTGTTGAGTTTCTCCCCATTTACGACCTTTCTTGCCAGTTGTTAAGTGAACCACTGCAGTTTGATAAGTTAATAACCCGGTGGTTCAGTGAATCTGGCTTCCCCATTGACTTTGCTTGTCAGAAGGTCGCAAAAGGGGATCACATGACGCAGGGACACAGCAACAGGTTGCCAAGCATCTAAATTTTGATCACAAATGATGCTGCAAAGGTCGTAAATGTGGGAAATGGTCATAAGCCACATTTTTCAGGGCCACTGTAACTTTGAACGGTCACTAAATGAATTGTAAGCCGAGGACTGCCTGTGCAAGGACTATGCGGAAAGGTAAGAGTTGCAGATTAGACTGGAAGGGTGACAACCCCAAAGAAGAACAAAAAGAAAAAAGAAAGCTTCATGGAAGTGTCTCTAATGAAGTTACGTGGAATGGAACTCGTTTAGGAGAATTTGCTTTCTATTTGGGAGCTACTGAAAAAGGACTCCACTCAGGAGTTGTCTCTTAGCTTGTCCCATAACTCTAAAAGACAAAGAAGTCCTTGGTCAGAGTGTTGAAACTGTCAGGGACATTCTTACCCTGAGATCTGAATGGCAGGCCTGGCACTAGTATTTCCTTAGAAACTGAAAGCTCTGCATCCAGTGGCACAGAGGTGTTTTTCACAGTCCTGAAATTGTCCCCAAGGTGCTTTTTCAAGAGGCAGCTGCACTTTCTGGTTTTTCTTTGAAGACGTTTTGCTTCTCATCCAAGTAGCTTCTTCAGCTCTGACTGGATGGAGCTGAAGAAGCTTCTTGGATGAGAAGCAAAACATCTTTAAAGAAAAACCAGAAAGTCCAGCTGCCTCTTGAAAAAGCACCCTTGGGACAACCATGACCTGGATGACTGAGAATCTCCATAGACGTCCTGAAACTGTTCTTATTCTGCCCTCTATTGCTATATAGTGGATTTATTGGAGGAGAAATTTTTTTTGAAATCCTACTAGGGTTCCCTTTCCCACCAGTTGTCATTTTGTTTGGGTTTATATTAAAGGTTTTTTTTTTCTTAAGTTCTGGAGTAAGATTCAGCAATGGAGGACTGGTTTGAAAAGGAACTTGAAGAAGGGGTCTTTGGCGGTTTCTTAGCTTTTTTTCTTGCAGACGTTTCATTACTCAAACTAGGTAACATCGCTAGTAAGGAGTGCTGTTTGCTGTCAGTTTATATTCTGGTGTCTTGTCTGTCTGTGTTGGTAGGAATGGTCTTAAAGAGATTCTTTGGTTGGGCTGTTTACCAGTGGCTTTTGGGCAATTTCTTGATTTGGGGTATTGTTTACTTGATTGTTGGTCTAAAGTTAACCTTGAAGTTTATCTATGCTGATCTGGGTGCTGATTCTGGTGGATAGGTGCTTGGGTCTTTTTGTTCCCCTTTGGCCTGGTGGTTGATTGTATTTTTTACATAGTCAATAGAGGTTAATGTTTATGTCTATTGATAGCTAATTTGTCAGTATGCCAGGCTTCAAGAAATTCCCTGGCATTTTTGGCCTGGTCTAGAATTGTCATTTTCCCAATTGAAACTACGGATAAATCTGTCTATATGTTGTGAAATTAAAAGAATTTTCATCATGTCTCCTGACTGCTAGTTGGTGTTCATGGATGCATTCTGCCAGTCTTCTGCTTGTTTGTCTTAGTAATAATTGTTGCACTTCTTACATTATATCTTATAGATGACTCCAGTTTTTTTCTTCTGGGGTTGCTGGGTCTTTTGGTTTGCTTAGGATGTTTTGAAGGGCTTTAGTTGGCTTGTGTGCTGTGCTGATTCCATGTGCTTGTAGTCAGTGGTGGGTTTCAAAGAGGTTTACCAATGGTTCAATGGGTGTGGCTTGGTGGGCATGCTTTGCTCATGCACACTTTGTGCACGCACAGAGGCTTTCCTACTCACCTCCTGCAATCCCTGTAGCTTCAACAGCTGACACACAGCAATCTGCTGTGCCGTACAAAGCAGCTGTGCTTCAAAAGCAGGGAATAAAGGTCAGTATAGGAGCCGGGGCAGGCGCATGGCCCAACAGCAGTTCGTTCAGTCTCAGCCGATCTTCGGTACTACCAGTATGCCAGAATTGGGCCAAACCGGTAGAATAGCACCACTGCTTCTAGTTGGTGGTGGTTTCTGAGATATTCTTGATGGCAGGAAGTTCAATAAAAGTGGCTATCATTAATGTATAGCATTCCAAATCTAATTACAAAGGAGTTACAAGGAAGCAAAAAAATCCAGGCCTAAAAGAGTCACTATCAATATTTTATCTTAGGAAACAGATTCTAGTACTATACAGTCCCTATCCTGTACCAGAATATTAAAGTATCTACAGGAAATAGCAATCATGTAGCAGATATGAAACCTCTAACTTGGGCTAGCATTTTGCAAAATAAATCTGTTGTACTAGGAATTTTTGATGTAATTTAATGGACAGCAGATGTTAGAAAAAATAATTCAACTTCAAATTATTTCTTAATATGCCAGAATAATCTGGCCTGGAATAATGTGGCAACCATTGCAGCAACTCCATGGTCACAATTTAGTCAGGTGCTTGACAACTGGTTGTTTACGAGGGCTGTATTGTCCAGGGGGCATATGCAACCTTCTGACAAGCAAAGTCAATGGGGAAGCCAAATTCACTCAACAACTGAGTTACTAATTTAACAACTGCAGTGTTTCACTTAACAAATGTGGCAAGAAATGAGGCAAAACTCACTTAACAAATTTCTCACTTAGCAACATACTGGGCTCAATTGTAGTCATAAGTCGAGGACTACCTGTATTTCTACCCAATTCTGTACCCCATTTCTATTTATAAAGGTAACTAAGCAAATATATTTATTTCTAATTTGTATAGTTTAAATCGTATTTCACTACCAGTAACATTTGCCCCTTAAATATGACCCATCATTTTGCTACACCTAACACCTTACCTGATTAAGGGAATTGTTCCTATTGATCTCTACCCGTAGCCAAACAAATGATGCTGTAGTTGTGCTGGCAGAATGCTTGAAGGCTGTAAAAGGTCTGAGGGAAGAACCAGTTTCTACTCATCTATAACAAGGTGGAGTGCCCCCCCCCCCCTAATACTTTGTTCTTTAACTCTGAAATAGATAGTGCTTCCCTGGTCTAAGCTGGTATGCAATGTGGGAGTCTTCCTGGATTTATAGCTCCTGCTTAAGGAGCAAGTGGCAGCTGTGTGTGTGTGGAGGGTGGGGGCTTTCACAGATTTGTCTACTGTGCCAATTGCACCTTTCTCTGGACTGGGAAGGCTTGTTTATGGTCAGTCATGCCTTGGTCACTTCCTGTTTGAATTACTGCAATGCATTCTACTGGACTGTCCAGAAAGTCAACTGGTCCAGAAGGCAGCAGCCCACAAGTAATGGGAACCCCTTGATTTGCCCATGTTAAGGCTTCTGTTATGTTGCGCAAGCTTCCAGATTTTTTTCCAGGTTGCAGTTCAAGGTGGTCATCACCTTTAAAATCCTATACGGCACAGAACCAGGTTATATGCAGGCATCTACAAGACATCTACCGGTCCTGACAGGGTGAGCATGCTCCTGGCTTCTTCCCTTATATATTGCGATCCGGTGGTAGATAGAAAATACGCCTTTTCCGTGGCAGCCCCTGCCTTATGGAACACTCTGCATCACTGAAGTTAGGGCAGGCCTCTACCCTCCAGACTTTCCGTAAAGCTTTGAAGGCCTGGTTTTTCTTTTCCCAAGTGCTAAAGTACTATTAGATGCCAGGTTTTTGCTGTTTTTAATGTCTTGGTTTTAGTTTTAATGCGTTTTTGTATGTTCTTTCAACTTTTGATCGGAAGTCATTCAGAATGGATTATAAGATGAATGGCTATAAAATGTTTGAAATAAATAAAAGGAAAATGGATACAACAAATATTCCTAAGAATGTACTCAAAATATTGAGATTAACAAAAATTGAGATCATTGAGCTTAGGGCAGTTGAATTATTTTCTCCCCCAACTTTATGAAAAGGTTACAGTATAGATAATTTGTCTTTACTTTCAATTTAGCAGCCCAGCTTGTTAAGTAAACTATTGTATTTTTAGAGAAGCTGCATGCAAATGTTACAAAGCAAAATTTTATGGTTTATAAAATGTAATTTTATTTAATGTTATTTTGTTACATAGGGCATTAACATTTTCACAAGGCTTTTTTGGGACTACAATCAATGATTAGCAACACACAATAGTGGTCCATCTACCTACAGAACAAATCACTGGACGAACTTGACACCTTCATACATGTGCACAAATCTGCATGGAAAAGTTTTATACTTGGACATGTGACCACTTTCCCCATTCCAGTGTTAAGAA